AGCTGTAAGGAAGCTCTTGTCAGTAATTTCGATGGTAATATCTGGTAACAGTACCGGATTTAGGATAATTATTTTACCTCAACCCGGAAATTGAGTTGCCCGTATTCATCCCTCAAAAGGCTCACTAACCTGCTTGGATCCAGACGTTTTCCATTAATGATATAATGGGGTCTCCCACTATAGAGTCGAGCCCTACTTATATGAATGTGGCTGTGGTTGTGGCTGGGCATATGTGCGCGTATATGCCAATAATTTAGGAATTAAAAGCACAATGGTAAAGGAATTAATATTTTATCTTAGTGAGATCGGACTGGGATAGAGCAGAAGTATATGTACAGCTATTACACACACAATTTATAAACGCCCGGCGGCTAAGCCGAAAGGGCAACTATCGCTGATCTATTATACATGTCCAAATATATATGCCTTGTTTCCTCGGAGCCCATGCATGATCACACTCAATTCATGTCATGCCAGCTGTCAGTATCGTAGCGGGTCCTTATGGGTTAGTAACTCTGTTGGTAGACTAACTTGAAGGCGCTTCGTCAAGTGTTCAACATTCTATTCTTGGCAGTTGAAGCGCATCTACCGCCTCTAGCACAAGGTGGTTGTTGTAGGTTAGTTTGGAGAGGGTATCATTGGTGTTAGTTGAAATGGTTAAACAGCTTCGAGTCGGCCCGTGGCGATTGCAAACCGTATTGAGGCTCGTATTGCTTTCAAGTTTGGCGACCAGTCCTGATCATCGGAAGGACATTTTCCGCCTAGGAAGAAGGATATGTTCCCTCAATGGGTATGGGTACATTGCAGCATTTCCGTCCGTTGTATGGTCCACTTCCGACATCGAAAATGAAAGTGCTCAGTGCTACGACTGATTGCTACGCACATCAATCGTCTATTATACAGTACATACTGAGCCGTATGACTTTCTGTGCAGCTGAATAATTTAATAACTAAAAGTTTCTTTATACGAAATACCATTGTGGAAAAATCAACGCGTCGTACGGTGGTTGGATTACTTTTTAGTATGGACCTACTTGTGGCCATCCTGATAAGCTAGAATATGTGCTTAGATAGGACGGTATGGTTCTTTCCTAGCTACTATTATATCTAAAAACTCAGTGTCCAATTAAAAATGCCTATATTAAGTACAAAGTTCGTTAAGGCCTAGAATATTTCCAAACAACACTTCCTCCACAACCCACGATTTGGGACAAATGCAAGCTCTAGGTCCTTGGTTGCGCTATTTATTTTTATCGCTGTGAAAAGTTGCTAGAAACAAGCTGGTTCTGGCAATAAGGATTAGGGCAATTCTCTGTCACTAGGCTATAAAATCAATAGAACGGTTTTATCGTGAGATATACTACACTTTTCGATGTCCAAGTCGTACGGTATACTGCCCAACGACAAACTGAGGATCGGATACTCTTAACTCAAGGCACTAGCAGAATACATAACCCCCACCGCCCGCTCCCATGACCGCTTGTTGTTCTTCAGCATGAAAGTTGCCCGCCATAGTTACTAATTACCTCATCTGCTCCATTCATTATTAGCGCTCGCCTTCCAGCTCCCACCAATTCCTGTATATTTACTGACCTAAATCAAGTTGACTTAACTGGTATATCTCCTCTCCAAGTGCATACCCATTCTTGCCTTTGTCGCATGAACATTCTAGTATACCATCTCCGTATTTGCAGCTCTCACAACTCTTTATGCTCCTCGACCCAGCGCTATTACATCAACTTTAGCTTTTTGCGAAAGAAGCTCAGGGTTCCATGGACGGATCCAGAGTTTTCTGATCGTGTTTCACTTACTAGGTCCCTTCTTGAATGTATCCACCCGAATGGCTCACACAATCTTCAAGTGCAAGCTTAGTTTCCACAATCTTCTTTGTGTCCTCCTTATCGCTCGCACGCGTCTTGCAATGTCCGTGAAGGACGTAATCTGTATCCATGACAACCCCGTCACAGCTAGACAGAAACTTCTGTCCATGGACCCCCATCCATAGAATGCAAATACTAGCGATAATCCTGCGGGTATCCATTCTAAATAGTTATGAGTAATTCTTCTTGGACCTCTTCTCTCCGCGAGTACCCACCACGATGTTCAAATGCACGTACCTGCCGAGATCCAGCTGTTGTTGTTTAGTTGCCTTTGTGCCCGCTCACGTCCGGTTCCAGTATGTCCTTCGAAATAGATTTGAGAGTAGGCTTCTCACTGAGGTGTCCCGGCTTATATAGATGAGACAGTTTTCATTTTTACTGTATCGACCGAGGGCTCCTCAAGTAGCCAAGCAACATTTCCCTCACAAGCGTGATATCTGCCTTGGAGGTCAAACTAGGTGTTGTGGTATTGAAAATCCCGGGGACATCAATCATGCTGAGATGGTCTTCGTGAGGGCCATGGATCTCCAATCGGAGGATATCAGACGAAAACGTTGGCAGATTGTCACCGGCAGAAGATGATAAGCCCATGGCCTGGTGAACCTGGAAAAGGTTTAATTATCTATGGTCCCATTATTTCAGTCAGAAGGATACACCCACTTCGTTCATCATATGCTCAAATTCCTTTTCATTGAGTGTCTGGGCATCGGATACACTATAACCAGGAGTGTCCCGTTCATCATCCCGAGTTGTTAAGATGATTGATCCTGACACTTTCCCTACGTTTAAGCTAGGATCTCTGCAAAATATTATCTGCGTCGCAAACCGGATGCATAGACCACTGTTTCGAGGAAACTTTAGGTTCGTCAAGCCCTCCAAGACGAAGCTCTTTCCGCTGGATTAATCCCCGACGACGACCAGCTGAGGTAGGCTGACGTACTCGCCCAGATTGCATGCGAACAATTTGTCAATTTTTTCAAGCAAAGCCGGATCAGCAAGGACCACGTTGGTTTTGTCGTTGGCTTTTGGTTTGACCGTCATTTTGAGTGTGGAAAGGCCAAGGTCCGCCAGGTGCTCCACTATTGAAGAGCAACTCGGAACCAATGCTGTCCAAAGCCTTCTGCCAAGAAAATGAGTGCTCGACAATACGTTCACATGAAGTAGACGGTACCAAAAGGGATGTACATTGTGTGACACCACCCAAATCCCCAACGCCAAGCAACAGGCGAGAAAGGGCAACGGCAGGAGTAGCCTTGCACGAGGAAAATCCACCTCAATAGTAAGTTAGATAGAACGATTACCATCTGAATGATGTCAAGCGTGTCACCCAGGTTCACCTACTGCCAATGCGTTGGAGCCCTTGAATCCGCGCCGGAGACTCTGATCGTGACGGCTGCGGACGGAGTATTTATTCACGGAAAGGTAACTCCGTTGATCCTATGCCCAAGCCCTCCCTAGTCTGCCAGCCCGTACGGCGGTTTTCAGATTTGGTTTTATATCAAGCAAATAGAAACGCCATATGCAGTACCACACATAACGGCCGAATAAGCATGGCCCCGCTAGGATATATCCTATATTTATAGCTCGACCATATACGGACCACCTTTCTTGCTATTGATTCTGGGAATAGCTTGCGAGTCGATGGGGGCAGGGCCTTTGTGAAAGGCACGGTACCTGCGGATTGAATGACGGGCTGCAGGTTTGCGAAGTAACACCAAAGCTCACGAGCTCGTTCAATCCTCCCATATATAGAACGACCCTTCTGATGAGATGATCTCTAGTGTGATTATCGACGGCTAGACTGGCACTCGCTGATATGTATGGGATGGAAGTGCATTTTCATCGTGTCCGCCTCCAACCTATCTTGTCTTTTTTCTACGGCAACCCTCTTGCCTTTGAAATTCTTCGCTACCTCTTGCAGTTTGTCAGTCATTCTTCGACGGGAATTATGATTCTATCCCCTGTGACGATAATGGGGAAACACGAAGAGAGGCAGGAATGGATGCCACTCGCAACGACCAGATGAAGTCAATAGTAGTTTCCAGGTGTCGGGTTCCGACAGCTTAAATCTTATACATATCATGTATGGGTCCCTGAAGAGACAAGATGGCTGCGAAGGGCTCGTGAGTTCGTCCATTGTTCGAGCGTGACAAACACTGGGGTCCAACTCGTGTCTCCCCATCTTTCCCAAGGAGGAGCAGGCGGCTTGCCGCCACCAAGTTCCTCTTCTGAGGCCCTTGGGCATTGCCAGGTACGTAGAAATATCCTTGGCGGATTCACTCTTTTCCTTCATAGGTCGCGTGTAAGAGAGCAGCAGGCCTCATTTCAAGTCTCCATTACAGCAGCCTACAGCCCGTGGGCTACTGCTGGCACAAAAGCGACATGACCCAGCACAGAGCACTCGATGCAGCTTGCGCAACGATTTGTTTGGGTATTTAAGAGAAATGCGATAGTATGCCACGATCGGGCAGCCCGGTGAATAGCGCCAGGGTTCGTCAAATTTGCGGAGAAACGCTGCAGAGATAGAAGTGGTGTAGACGTATAGGTAATCTTCTTCATCACCGGAAGTGGCAAGGACGTTGACCTTCAAAGTCTTCGGTAAGCCATGATGGACAACTCATTTGATGGGTTACATACCCTGAGACCCTGGCCACAGTCATGAGGGCCTCGGTCTGCGATGCAACGGGGTAGAGGGAGGATCTCCGAAGGTGTGCCGTTGGTTGTGCGTCCTCTGTCCCATTGGAGGATGGAATCGGCGGCCCCTTCCCTGTGCTGCTCAGTTCCCTGTTGGTGTCGCCACTGCGCTTGGGCAAGTGCAATTAAAACTCCCATTATGTATGGATCTTCAACGGTATTCAGTGGCTGAAGAGACCGCAGCTTTCTATTACGAATGTTGGTCACGGGCTCGTTGAATGGCTTTACCGGTGAGTTGTGTACGTAGTCGCTTCGATGGGACTTTATTCCATCGAATGTGACATAGGCAAGGGACGGACCGGAGGACTTGCGGGAGAATACGCCCTCTGTCCAAACGTTCGCAGCAGGTTGCCGGCGGAAGTAAAAAAATAACCTTTCGTAGCTGCGGCAGTCAGCAACATTGGTCAGGGCCGGCATGCGAGTGAACTACCTAATAGGCCAGATATCATAAGCGTGCAGTATGTCTTTAATGGCCGATTTCTTGACCTCCGACATCCTTCGCCCTCCAAACTGGGCCATCGCGCGACAAAGGTCAGAAGGCGTATTTCGTTCGCGAGAATTGTCAACGGGCGGATCCGATACGACAACTTGCGACTGTGCGTGCTCCAATTTGCCTGTCTTTTGCAGAGCGAACCGGCAGTTTAAGAGCCGCAGCTGCAGCGAGGTCCAGGCTACCGGAGGGACAAATAGGCGGTCTCGGCTGTGGTGGCGTAAGATTGCATCAATTGATTTAGGCTCAACGGGCCCTCTAACAGTCGATTGCGGCCCAAAGCGAGCGCCAGACTCGACAGCGGCTCGACGCGATGGCCGTCCAGAAGGGTATTGGAGATCGTCAGTGGCCTTGCGCTTGAGGTTAGCTGGTACCAACATTTCGTGGCGGTATTTCATCGGAAATTGCCAGCCGTTGTTAATCTGTGCTGGCCGCTTGCGAGGGATGGCAAAGCGGAAGATTTGACGCGTCAGGGACATAGGGTCTGTGGCCGCGGAACTGACTAAGCAATTACTTCATCACCTTGCTCAACCGATCAGTTAATCGATCAATATTGATCGTACGGTTATGGAGCTTGAATCGTACGATCAAGCCTATTTTATCGCATATTCGAAGCCCCTGAAATTGCATAAATATCGGCTTCTTTTTGCAGTAGATTAGAATAATCAAGACCTTCAATCGTTGCATATGATCATATAAACTCGGCGTATTAATCAGCTCTTTGCCAAGCCCATTTCTGCCACAGGGTCCAACGTCACGAGGTCACGTGGACGAACGCGATGGATCAAGTTCCTCCACTGAGGGGTAACCACTTTGGTCTTTGAATTACCCCTGCGACAGACCTTCCTGCCCATTCGTCAAAGAATCCGTGTCCCTACAGAGCTATAAAGCAATATGACTAACGGTATTTTAGAAGCTCGAAACCGCAGCGAGTTTGAGCGGCTCAGCGCGAAGTTTGGGGGTTTGCAAGCGGCTGCACAGCTCGAAAAGTGGGAACGGGATATTCCTGCTAGTAGATGGACAGTACGGCATTTAGTCGCCTTTCGACTGCTAACCATGCCGGAAAAGCCTTTTCTTCAGGTTATTGCGGCAGAGCATGAGAGTTGCCCTGTCTGCCATTCTCCGGGGTCCTATCCATGCGCGCTGGACCATGACTGGATAAAAACCCTGACGACGGCCTGCGAGCTTCAAATCTCGCAAAGCACAGATTCCCAGCTTTTACGGCTGCCAGGCGGATTTTTCTGGGTCGCCCTCGCACATGCTGCGCGCGCGGAAGGGGTTACAGCGAAAGAGTACCCTAGGCGCGACAGGCAGGCACCGCACAGAGAAGGATATCTCGATTCCGTGGCGGCTATAATAGGGTCCTCCTCCCCCACGGGTCCTTCTTCATCGGAGTACGAGATTGATCTAAATGACGTGGACGAGGACGAACACGACGACCGCCGGAGTAAGCCCGAGGAGGTCACGGCCCACTTGCTTGTTAACTATCTATACTTTGCCCTTAATCTCTGCCTCCTTCAGGAGTCCGACGGCCCAGGAGAGGTCCGAGTGCGAGTGGAGCGCAGAAAAGCCACTGTCCAGGTTCCTGGCATGTACGATTTCGCTGCTGAAGATGATGGTGGGATATCCTGGATGGATCGACAAGTTCATGGCTGGAGGATGGGTCTGCCAACCCTGGCCTTTCTCGAAGCTAAAAAAGCCTTCAAGACTATTCATATCGATGAGCGAACGGGAAGAGCCCAGCCTGTAGTCTCGAATGAGACGCTCGCCCAGTACCTCGGTGAAGCAATCGTAGCATGGAGAGCAAACCAAAAGTTACAAAAAGAAGAGTAAGCTCTAACCATACTGTACTGTTGATCGAATGCCCACTTTATATTGACTCGTTTGTGATGTAGCGTGTTTCTTATTGCCGGAACCAATACATTCTTGCGTTTCGTCCACTTCAAATTCGGAGTGGACTACGCTGAATACATGAATGCCACGAGCGAGACAGCACAGAGCATTCTTGCAGCAAATGAAGACAAAGACACGTTCATCTATATGCATAGCACAAATTGGTTCAACCTTCAATCACCTGGTGACAGAAAGTCTGCCCTATATCATATCCTCGCGCTCATCAAGTGGCAAGACAGTCGGAACAATCTATTCAGCACTATGGACGATCATGGTGAAGACGGGGACAGCAGTGATGAGTCCATGTGTAGTGAGTGAAATTAAGCTTGAAGTCCGGAATTTCGACTTCCTCGGAGGCAAAGAGGCGATTCCGATATTGCCTCAGAAGGGGTTATATATACACTAACTAGGAAATCTTCATTACTGTCCGCCCAAAATATATGACGCCTCTATGGGCTGTTTAGAGTCGACCTTTGAATATAATTATACCCTGAAAACCGTTCTCCAATCCATACAATACCTTGCCATTCTAGATCATATGTATCGTGCACAAGAGCACAACACCAGGAAGAGATTCCCAATTTAGAGCTCCATTCCACTATTGTATAGTCTTCGCACTGTACCTAGAGACATTGTACAACAGGTAGAGTGGTGATGTGTCATCGCACTGTGATCGTCTTCGACTATGTACAGCATGTACCATAATAAGCCCTGAAATAGTCATCTCGCCAACGATTCACTTTCACGCGGCCTCAAGCTTGATTTTCGCTCAAATATAGCAATCATCTGCCCTATCTCTCTATGCTGTGCGATATCACGAGGTAGAAGTAGCTGGAAGACATATTCTCCACCATTGGTCTTCCCAACAATCTTGCACTGCATCTCGGGCTTTTGGGTTGCCTCCTCCAGATGGTACCACAGGGGAGATTTTCGATAAGGTGATGCATATCGAACATGAAATTTGGTGGAATATCCGCGAGTTTTGCGCTTGCAGGATGGTTTTCGGCTCGATTCAGTCGACATGGTGGAAAGGAAGTACAGTATGTTTGGATCTTGGAAGGAGAGAATTGATCAGAAGTCAGGTCGTGCTTTGCTTGGATCTTATATCTTGTTCCCTTGGGCGTCTGATATACTACCTCTAAGCCCTCTTACGACAGAGCATAGATAGAAACGCAGAGATTATGTGACGGGCCTCATATTTTGGGGCTGGTAGTTGCAATATTGTGGCCAGGAAAGAAGGGGGATAGTTTTCATGAACCATGTGTCATCTTGCTACAGGGGATGCCAGGGGTTACTATTACTGAGTGCCTCAACTATACAGTCGAGTTCAGCTCGATACCCCGGAGGGGATTGCGACCGGCTGGTGTTTGGCTCCGTAGGTCACGGCTTGAACAAGGAGAGTGTTATGCGATAGGCGGCGGGCGCCTTATTTCTGGGGTTGATGGAAAAGCGTTGCAACAGAATGGGAATGGGTGTCGCCATAGCCCTTTCCTATTGACAGTAGGCGACATGATGCGTACATGCATTGCAATGGTGGAGAGAGTGCGGTTAATCGGGTCAGTCTTGGTGAGAGTGGTATTCCTTAGGCAACGGCGGAGGTCATGGGTCTTCGTTGAACTGGATCCGTCCTAGCCCTGGTTCTTCCGCTTCCTGGTGTTTTTGGCGAGCCCCAATCCTATCACCTTCTCGTCCTGTCAGAGAGTTAATTTCTGGCGGAGGAATGTATACACCAAGTCGAAACCAGTGCCACCCCTCTAGACTCTTCTCTTTATTCTATGGAGCGGAGACTAGACTGTAAATGGTAAGGGTATAAATTTCAAGCCAATAGGAAAAGGTTTGCCAAGCCTTTTATCACGCGCTTTACCCGCTTTGTACAGAATCAGAAGGAAGAAAGTATATTTTGGGGTGACACTGGTTTCGCAGCCGAGTGTATACTATCCAGGGACATGCTCAGGTTCAACAATGATTATCCTGGACTCGCAGCTGAAACTTCTAGCATTCTCAAAATGACTATAGTTGAACGCACCAGTCATTTTGGATACCACTTATGATAGCATCTTGGGTCAGATGGCTCCACGAAGACATGAGTAGACCCAGCCGAAGTCACTGCCATGGATGGGATTCCTTTGCATCTCGCACGCCTTCGTAGGGAAGTCACATCAAATAGTATGCCACCCTTTCCGACTATGGGCGCCGTCATCCTACATAGACCCATGGGATGCGCATGTTGTCGTATTGATGTCAATCCGAATTTTTATTAAAATAGTGCGATCACATGTGCTGCACTAGAGTATGCGTGGGAAATCAGGCTGAATTGGACGTGAAGAACCCCCTCTCTTTACTACTGCGGAACCTGCCCCAGTAATCGGGAGAGGCATGTTGCCACAGCCGCCATCCTCCTGGTCTACCATACTCCTGCCCAATCTTGTCAGCCCAGATTCCCATGAGACACTCCCGGGCTGAAGGTACTTAATCTATTTGCCTGTACAGTTCATTCCTACATATAAAGTCATTAGTCCGTTTCAATTTCTCCTTCATGTATGTACAATTGCGTCACAAATTATCCACACTTTCTGAGTCTCAAGCAGCAGATGCAGGTAGCCTCCGGACGATCACGACTATCCCTCTGCTCAGTAATCTCACGTATGATGCAGGATGCTAAGAAGTTGAAGCAGCCTTGACAGATCAAACAGGATGGAGGCGGAGCAATGGTGCTGCTTCTCAGTGCATACGGACGCTCAGACGTTTTATCCTTCGGCAACAAAATGATCTGCTGCTTGCCAGTCATTCACATGTTTGAAAGGATTGAAGGGCGAATCAGGTGAGGGAGGTAATCATGGGCGCGGAGAGGCCATGATGTAATTAAAATAAGGTGGCGTATCCCGGGCAAGATCGATGGAGGTCAAATAGTCTTTCTTTCTCTTCACATCGTACTGTACGTTGCGATTATCGAGGGTGGGCGGCGTTCTTATACTCCCGCTCCCTATCAGCAACAGTCCGCTAGGTACGCCTGTTCTGCTAAGTATACTCACACTAAACATCCTAACATGTATGATTTTGTTTTATTTATCTTTGCTTTGCTCGCAGTTTTTGTTTTTGGGATGTTCGATGTTTGTTCTTTGCCGACGCTGTTTCCTTTAATATCCATAAATCTTCTTGACAGCAGCTTCGCTCACTTTACTGATACCATCTTTAAGAATTATTTTCATTATGACGACGGAATGCAGACATAATGCTTACCTGGCGCACACTTTAATTCTTCAAAAAGCCCACATGGCCTCTCTTATCTGTCACTCTCTTCATGAATTCGGAACTAAGCTTCCCGCCCGCGGTGGCTATCTATTTTGCCTTCCCTCCTGCTGCGTTGAAAGAAAACGCCATCACTCAGAATAGCAGCTTTGATCCTAATCTTGCGAGAGAAAATGAAGTTTCAATTGTCCTAAACGTGTTGTTGGGGCATGTTTCAGAGACCCTGGGTTTAGTCATGCGCTATCCTAGCCAGTGATTTCGATATTTCGCGACAGCGATGCCACTTCGTGGGAGGCCGAATGGGTGAATTGTTTGTAGATTGATCCATACCACCATTCGTTGAATTGGGCTTCTCATATGCATGGTTGCCTGTCCATTGCTCCACGAACAATGTCAGAAGCGTAGGCGAAGACGCAAGTGACTGACACAGAATGTTGGATGCTGGTCCGAGGAACATTTTTCGCCGCTTTTCCAGTTCTCCCATCACCAAATATACGATCCTATCTTTCCGAATTTCTTCAGGATCCACCCCCTGGTCTACCTGGAAAGTCTGGCTCATGTGGCCCATGAAGCCGTCAGGAACCAACGGGCTGAAGATCTGGTTGACCGATTCTAGGAACGGTTCGGGCTTCCAAGTCCTTCGAAGCAAGGCTTCGTATTTGTAAAAGATAATGGACTGAAAGGTCTCCGACATTTTCCACCGCTTCGCCATCATATAGAGAGAACTGTGAAGTGCCAGCTCGTTTAGTGACTCTAAAATCGTGTCAGCAATCCATCGGCCATACACAACACCGATTGGGCGTACCTGAAGGCTCAGCGAAAGGGCATAGAGCATTGGAATACGTGCCCAGATAGATAAGTTCCAATATCTTCCATATCGTGTTGATGTTCCCAAACTGTATATAGAATTCACAGAGGCCCGTGCTTTGGTAGCTTTGACGGAATCCCTTGTCGACATACGGGCTTGCCGCTCCAACAACCGCAGCATGAACCGGAATCGTAAAGCCGGCTACGATAATAGATGCATCAGCACTTCTTTTTGTCTCCCAGAGGGCTTTTTTATTTTCGTTGTCCACGCAACCGGATATCATCATGTCGCCACTTGCGCCACCGGGGTGGTTCACATCGGCGATCATGGCAGGAATGGAATTCACTCTAGGTACAAACCACGCCCTTTATATCTGGACCAATCCTCATTGAGATTTAACTACTGTAGAGCGGACATAAATGCCTCACTGGCGGGTATTTGAACGTTGTGTTACATGATTCAACACATGCATCACCACCAATCATGAACTTCGACCAGTAAATAAAAGACGCAGTTTACGTGTATGCTAGCAATGTGACTACATTACTCCCAAAGTCACTCAGAAAGAATGCCCAAAGGATATGCTCAACTGCTGATTGAGCATGTTCAGCCGCGGTTGACAAGGGGTCCACAGGAATTCAACAAAATCCTTCAACATCAAACCGAAAGAAGAAAACTTTATCACTTATGAGACCCATGCAAAATTGATGTTCATCTGCGTAGCGCATCTCCATCCTATTCATGCCTACACTACACTGACCGACTTAAGTTCGGACTATCAATAGTCAACCCGACGTGCAACAGCGAAGAAAAATCCTAGCATTTTTCACCAGCGAAAATCCGTCAAAGTTACCTGCTCAAAAAGATATCGAATGATCTTTACGCTACTAGAACATCACGGGTATTTTCTGCAACATCCCTCTCACAGCTTAATTTTGGCGCTCACAGGTGGTATGACGAAACGTCCGATAAAACAATATTAATGTTGCAATCATGGGCCATTCGATTTACATGGCCTTAAAACTTTCTGGCCTAACTTTTACGATACATTTGTTGTGTCCATATCATGGCTTCTATGGGAGGTTATTCAACACGTTGAACTAAAGCGGAAGCCATGATGGACAGACTCGCCGCTGCTTATTAGAACCCCCCAGCCGACGGATGGTAAACGTCGGGGTCTCTGGAACAAACAACAAAGAAAAAAAAAGAAAAAGACAAAAGAAAACCTGCATTTTCTTACCGCGGTCTGCTTCAATTTGCCCTGGACTTCAAATTCCCAGCACCAGTCGTTAGTTATGGACTTATGGTACGTTGTTCATAGGTGTTGACCCCTAAAATTGACCCATTCATCCCTGGGAAATCTTGTGGGGTGCAGCCCTGAGTAAATATTTTCGTGGATTTTCAACACTTTGTACTCGAATCAATGGCCCTTCCTTGTGTTGAGACCTTGGCTAGGTATGGAAGGTCAACGGAGTTGGAGTACTTATCAGTTATCACGCCCCGAGGGCCACCGGGTTTGTATTGATCCGCGTAAAACCTTGTGGGCTGGACTCTGGTCACATGATCGTTTGTACCTATAGTTTTATGTTGAAATGCGATGAGCATAAGATTGTGCAAATGGCCCTTGCCAAGTAGGGTTTACCCTTTTTGGCTTGGTGTGAAAAACTGCAACAATTTAGCCCCCGCCAGGGTAACTAACTGTCCCAATAACTAAGTAATAAGTATTGGTTTATTAAATGTTCGTATTGCCTAGTAAACCTATATAGAACATTGAACTGTCGCGAAGGTCTTGATCATCGGAATCGATGATCCTACATGAAGTCTTTTATACGAATATATGAGGACACGTGGCCTCATTGATATAGGCGGTTTTGAAGCCATAGAGTTGATCTAGGCGGAAACGGTGAGGTGTTGAATCCTAGGTAGCGGTAAAATTACCTCATCTCCGCTGACACTAACTAAGCCTCAAGGCAAATAAGCAAATATTCAAATTTCGACTATCTAGAGTACACATATTGATCCAGGATCATGATAGGTGGTTTGTAACAAACCTTGCACAGGTGCCCCCAGCGAACTAAGCAATAGCACTGCGATTGACCTGAAAAGGCTCAACCAAGGCTTTAGAACGGGAGATATCCATGAACAGTGAGTAACCACACATTGAGCCAACAAATCCATATTCATAATCATTTCGACAGATTAGTAAACATTCCATGTCATGCAGATGATGCTCCTTGAACAAATCTTCGCTCTCTCTGGCCTCTCCAAACACTATCGCTGCAACGGGGGACACCGTGCCGCCGTTGCGGAGGTAATTTTCGGCTATGGGTGGCCACTCGCGTGACATGACAACAGCTTTTTTAACATTTTGCTCCGTCGGCACCTCTTGGTTTTCCAGACATACTGCCATATGTCCCGCTATAGCCGCAAACCCTTCTCTCATCGCCCTATGGCTGGAGAGCTGGGATCGGAGCTCATTGGAGGCAAGCGTGAGATATTCGTCGTTCAATCCGACCCAATCACTCCCGGAATGAATATCGTCTCGGAAAAGTGTGGCCCATCTGTTTGCTTGCCATTCTAGCGCCAGCCGCATGCGAGGGCTGAGGAAACCCTGAAGGCACTTTCCGCAAGTGCAACCAAACTTGAGACAATCCATTCGAGGGCATAATGAGTAAGAGGCGGTGTAAAGGAGACTTAAAATAAAAACTGACTTCTCAGAGTATCCGGCAAACCTATCCGAGATGTTGACGGTCTCGGCAGGTGCATCCTCCCAAACTCTGCCACGGTCAAGAAAAGACTGAAAGGCCTGCAGAGGAGTTTCCAGTCGTCTATTCTGTTCTTGAACTAAGGATGGAACATGGCTTAGTAGCCATTGAACGCTATGTGGCATTGATGCTATAGATGCCATGTGGAGTAATGTGTTGCCTCCCACATCGCGATATCTCCACATCGGGCTACTCACGCCGGTGCAGTCGAATACATTTTTCAATTTTTGAACCGCCGCCAGATCTGCAAGCTTACAGGTATCCTGAGGTATTGGTTTTGTTTCAGAATAATCGGTATGTGCCTGCAAGCCGCCTGCGGTGAAGTCGTCTTTCTCAAGATTCATCTTGAAGGTTGGAATGGTAACTCGGGATGTGAGGACAGGTGTCGTTCGCTTGAAGATTGGGATGATAATTGAGGCTTAGATTCGCCCGGGAGCGTATTTGTGACTCCATAGATCAGTCACTTTGCAGCGGCTGTCGACTCATCTGGCAGATTTATAAAGAATGTAGATTCAAGGATTACTGTGCAGGGCATCGGAGAGTGACTGCCAAACCCACATCGATATAAAGGATGATGTGTATGGATGAGCATTGTGTGGAAATGTTCAAAATGTTGAGCCTTTCTCAGTCCTTCTCTGCCAGTGCCTCTCAGCTTGGAACGGCTTTTTTGACTCGACGCTGAACGTTTTGGTTGTCCACAAACCCCGCCGGCTTTGCAAATATGATCCAAAATGGATGGCCCACATACTCAAAAGGTCGGTCAGAACATGTAATGGCGAGTGTTCACCATGCTGCGTATTGGTTGCTCATGACCGCAGATCGATGGCTTTTAGAAGAGCTAGCCGCCATCAAGCGTCGCTGTGATCTTGCTCCTTATAGGGCTGGGTAGCAGAGAATTGTAGTAAGGATGCAATTTCCTGATGCTCAACAGGCTTAAAACTATAATGTATGAAGTAATATTTCAATATCAATCTGTAAAAACCCTTCAACTGTCATGCGGGAGCTGCGCCGCTCGTACCCAGCATAGAACATCTAACTAAGAAAGGGGCCGTGGGCCTGCGGCGGCAGCAGCACTCGATTGTTCTGTCAGGTCATTTACAAATGTTATGTACATACCTCACTAAAGATAGTCATTTATGAAAATGAGTGGAAGCCAATAATGATTCGTACAAACGGTACTTGACTGTAGCTATATCGAACATTCTAACTGCCCCCCCCTCTATTGTTACGAACGTTTTGATCTTCGTTTTGGTCAATACATGCGCTTCCAAGGTTGCACTGTAGAAAACATACCTAGATCATATTCAAAGGCAATGCCCCCTGTCAGCCCTCTCGCACATGTACATGTCAACAAACTGGCTCCATGGTAGCGACAGGACCAGCACGCATCCTCACGGAAATCATTGCCTCTGTCATATCAAGTGAGATGTCATTGAGCATTTTGTTTTAGAGTTTCCAATACCTCACCTTTTCTGCAACTTGATACTGTAATACCGTCATCATTCCCATAACACCTCCCAAGGTCCAATTTGATCGTCAATAATAAGCCATCCTCATTATCACAATCTGATATATGTATCAAATATTTGGCTCTTTGAATTCTATATTCCGACAAGTCTTCGAGAATAGGCCAGCTTCCGTGACATGAATGAATTAGTAGTGTACTGAAGTACAAGCAAGGAAACCACAAGAAGGTGGACCATTTCCCCGTCTCCGGTACAGTACAGTATCTACACGTGTTGAAATAGAAACAGAGATCTCTGATCTGACCCGTATGGCTCTATGTATATATATATACATGGCATGTACGGTTGACTAAATTAACGGACTAGTAACTTATGTTGGCCTGCAAATCCCTACCGCGGCAGGCTTGATTGGGTCATGTCATTGTTGATGGTAGGAATCAGTGCATCGTAGTGCTTGGTTAAATGATATACACACGAAAAATACATGGAATTTTGACTTTTTTTTGTTCTTTTTTTTTTTTTTTTTTTTTTGCCGCTTAGTGACCAGAATGGACTTGTCTCCTTTGAGGTGTGGCATGTGCTACGGAATCTCCGAGTTTAATATGACGTGGGAAGGGCAGCCCGATGGTAAGCATCCACTTCGATCTTGTGCGCTGCGGGTCTACGTAATCTCCAGCCTCCAGCTTCACTTTCGCCCGAGAGATTTGAAAAAATTTCTACCTCTCTCTTCTCGGCAAATTCCTTACTTCCTCTTTTCGGCGTTTATTTCCACAGAGACCTTAGTGACCGGAATGATAGGTTCCATACTCTAGACATATTCTCTCCGTGAGTAGAACGGAACAAGGGTCCTATATGTACAACACCTAACTCTTGGCTGTTATATTGTTGTCAACACTAGCCTAATGAGCGCGGCGACAGGTTCTGTCAGTTATTGGTGGCTAAAACCCCTTACTGAGATTTTGTTGGATCCGTCATGATAGCGTGACCGGTCCATGCCTGTCACAGCCTACCATATAAATAAACCCCCTCCGATTGCCAGGTATCGTACCCTTCAGACGTTCAAAAAAGTTTCCCTTTATCCAGCATAGATATGGACGGACAAAGCTGCCCTCAATCAGAGCAAGACCCTACAACGACACGGACAATGGTTAATCACTTTGAACCCTCGGTGCTGTCCATTTTTAACTAATGACTCTTATTCAACAGAAAGTGAAGCGTACACGAGTTGCTTGTAGTCCTTGTCATCAATCAAGAATAAAGGTGTGTCATTCTCCCTTATTTCTGGAATCTATTAATTTGAATCTTGAAAGTGCGATGACGGTACAGAGAAGTCCGAAACTGGATTCCATATTGTAAATACAATGAGTGCTTTTCGAACCCTAATCAGGTGATGCACTAGTCTGTAAAGGGAACGGTGGTAAATAACGGTTTTGTTCTGTACCGGTAATATTACAGGGCTTTGTAATATTATAGTATCTTAGATACATAGGCCTAGAATCAGTGTCTGGGAGGACTGGAAGGTTCCATGCTAGCCCACTAAGCGAGAACAGCTTTCGAATTGGCAACTTGTCCAAAACCCTTCCCTTCTTTCCGTTCTGTGCATCTCGTGGCTGTTGCACTGCAGTGGCCTTGTTCCCCCAGGTCATCTAAAGCCAAGTTGATGGGCAAAGATCGATAATCCAGGTGATTTTTCTACATTTCCAACCTTTGCTCATCATTATGCTGCGGCTTCTGTTCCTAGGCGTCTTATTGGACACATTCATTCATGGGCTAACCCCTTGCAGCTTGTCTGCTTAGGTTTCTATTAAACAACCGGACAATGACCAATAGATCTCCCAACTATGATCATGCTTATCAATCTCGGATGATCGAACCATGGGACGGCGACACTCCCCAACATGCACCCACTCCTGGTTACTTTGGTTGTACACCTGCGTCCTTCTATTCTCCTAGCCCCGCCCCAGAGCCTGGCCTGCAGCCCGATCAACTAGGATTCCTCCCATTTAGTCTGTGGGAAAAGAGTGTCGACTACGCTGAACAACCACCTAAATACGTCTGCTACACTATCGCATGGAAGCTTGTACTCAACCGCAAGACGGTGGGTAAAGTGACCGAAGAAGATTTGGTCGTAGCACCCAGCGAGTACTGGGAAGAAAGTCTGAAAGTTGATGCGGACGTTATGCTGCGAACGAAAAAGAAACGTCACAAGCGGGTTCGCTCTGAAGGCACAGACATCACGGTTTCCGTAGACGACCGGTCTCAGAAGGACTTCGAAAAATTCTACCCTTCGGATATTAACTGGACACTAGTGGAGAAGCAGTTATGTAAATGGAGCAACTTGCTGCGAATTGGCAAGAAGATCAGTGTCACCATTGCCTTGAACTATAGGTATGATGATGATGTCAATGATGGTTCTACTACATCCGCATCACGAAGAGTCGAAAAGAGAGGCCGTGAGTCAAGAACCAAAAGGATGCTCGCTGAACGCGAGGAATGCATCAACGCGGAAGAGGAGAGCACTGGACGAGCCTCGACCTGGAGTCTAGTGTATGAGCGTATGCGATGCCAAGTCCGCTCATGTCCTCTGAAGTCTGATTGGTGCTGGGAAGACCCTCAAGACAAGAAACATTATAAACTCCGAGGTCCACACTTAGAGCGACTTATTGACTATGTCGACGGAGGTGGCAGCTTGGAGAGTCATGAAGATGTGCCCGATGACGTACGTCGAGACGTGGTCTTGGAGAGCCAAATAGGGCGAAAATCCAAAAAGGTGGATAACTTGCCGACGACAGGGGCGCCATATCCTCCGATCAATATTAATTTGATGTCCGCTGAAACGGCCTGTGCTTCTACGATTACGCCGTCGCCACCCAGGTTCCCACCGAATGGATGTCCCCACATTCCTAGGCCGCGTGAGCAAGCAGTGAGAGATTATTGCAAATGGCTGGAATCACGCGTAACCGAGGAGGCGTACAAAGCTGACTTTCGACGAATTTGTGAAGTCATTCTGGAGAACCACCTGGATCTGGAACTTATCTTCGAAGAGCCCGACTCTGGATTCTTTATTCAGCAGGGGATTAAGCTTGGAACCGCTCGCCGGTTCCTCCGCGACATACATGAATGGGCTGGATCGGCAGAACCGCACCAGGGATCTATTGAAGAACCCTAGGAATTATAGTTATAAGAGCGTGTGGCTGGTTCCACATGGTTCAGTTGGGTGATATATAGTTTTGCATTTTCCTTGGGCGTTAGGGTAACTAATAATATCGCATGTTTCAGGTGATCTGAACAACAAATAGATGACTTTGAGAGCGTAATTGGGAGAATCCCCGTGCATGAAAGAGGTACAGACTTGCTCGAGATCGCCTTGACCAACAAACATACGATTACTACTTCCCGGCCCCACAGCCAGGGCCTTAGTGTGGATTGATCATTAGGGTGCCCGTTTTCTGACAAGGAGCTGTAGTTTTATTTTTGTATGCTACATGTCAAACTGCGTATACTAAATTACTGCGTATTATACCGCTAAATCTGGACGGTTGCAAGGTCTTGAATTTCTCTAAGATATCAAGTAGAATGCCTCTATTTAAGCGCTTACCTGACCACTACGCCAGGACTACGGAAGTTGAACTCCGTGTCATAAAGCGTAGTGGAGGGGCTGCTGGCTATACCTAATTTTTCTGGCAGGCAATATAACTCCGTACATTATTGAGCTTTCCAGAACATCCTCATAAGTCTTACATAGCTCTCAAGGGATCCGTGCATAACCTAATCATCGCAAAGCCATGGAACTCCGTGGAACTCCATGGTAGCCGTCTCTGTAAGCAGTTGTAGATCTGCACACGTGTTACGCTGTGTGTGGTGTGGACCAGCCTGCGCATCTAAGCCCCGTCCTTTTTTTTCCTCAATAGTTTGGATAAGCAGTGGCACCACGTAGTTCTTTCATGGTTTGCCGGACCCTAATGTCAAGACATATGAATCTATTTGAGGAATTGAGTGTGATGGTGAGGTTTCTTTAGCTGGGCTGATATGGGAGCCCTGTCACCCACAATTCCTTTTTTTTTTTTTTTTTTAACTTCCTTTGCAAGCTTGAGATTTTCGTCATCTAACATGATCCATTCTATATCGAATATTACCTGGCGATCTCATTGAGCCCAATGCCAGGTGACTTCACCCGCGTAACGTATGGTATACCGTGATCTCGTGTAAGTTACTGGGTCTTGAGTACTCCACATAAAGAGGATTCCTATGCCCCGCATTGGGATCCTCTTAATCTTCACCCTTCCTCAATTTGCAAAGACCTGTTTCCCAATTTTAATAACCCAGGGACTAAGGCCCACTCTTTCTAAAGAATTCTATCCTCTAAATCGTTGAACAACATATAAATTGTGCGTTAAGTGGAGATTTCTGAATGATGACTTATAACTAATCAAGAAATAGGAAAATGGTCCGACGTGAATACGATCAAGACAACATCCGCGTTGCGGTTGGCCACGATGAGTGGACTGGATACTTTATCAGTGTTTGTGATAAACGCCTAGAAGTAAACGTTGAATCGAATGATGATTTTGACGATCTCTGCTATGGTGTCGCCGTGGATGGGTCGGGCTGTTATCTTAACGCCCATACTGGGAGCAAAGGGCTTGGAAAACGCATTAATCTTGGGGCGATGGAAAGGCTTTGGCGACTATATGGGGTAGATCAGAACGACCTCGATTTACTCCACCAAAGACTACCCAGCTTTTAAGCCTTGCTAAGGAGCGTCTCGGTATCAGTCGTGCTAAAGGGAGAGAGCTTCCATGAGTGTCACGGGTTTATTAGTCTATACGACTTTACCTAGTTATATAGATTCTCTTAAAACACGTCAAATATCGTTACGGTAGGATACATGAACATTATTGGTTACGTATCACTAGTAGGAAAATGTAAGATATAGGACTGTAGTCTTTCCACGTACAACAACAACGAACCTACCCCACGCTCGCCTGCTTCACGGCCAATACCTCACGTAATAAACACCCCTTGTGTAATGAATCGTCTCATCCTCACCTAGGTCTGTACCTCCTGTTGGATTGGTTGCCTCTGCTTGAGCGCCGGTGCACCCTACGACTCGTTGCATGAAAAGTGAAATCTTCCCCAGCATCAGATTCAGAAGCAATCTCGTCAGGTACGGTGTCACGGTTTCTGGCACTCCCAAGCACCCTTGAAGGAGTCTCAGTAACCATTTGGTCGACTGTGATGGACCCAGCCACCGTGCTAGCTGCGCCGGCAGTCCAGACCCAGGGTGCAAGCGGAGGTGCAAAGGTTGCAGTCGCCACTGTAGCACCTGTTGTCAGAAGTCCGCCAGCTGCGAATGAGAGGAATCCTGCGGCGTCCTCCCAAGCGCTCGGAGGCCGATATAGATTGCCAATGTGATGAGTTTCAAGTTGTTGGACCGGCACGTCATCGATCCTCGGTAAGTTAAGCCAAACGTACGGCTTCGAATCGTGTTTGAATCCCTTGATTGACAGTGGGTACACCTCTTGTGGGAACGCAAGGGGCTCCCTAATCAACATTGGGCGGTATGCAGGAATTATCAAGTGAAATCGTGCATTCTTTTTCTTTGCAGCCAAGTGTCGTCTAAGAAACAACATCCACACAACGATAGAGTCGAGGTTCTCGGAGAGGCCCAAAAAATTGCCAGGGAGTGGTTCTCGCTTTACTCGGTCGAAAAATTCCGCATACCAATCAGTATCAGGATGGTAGAGAAAGTAGATGTGATTAGGATCGTCCACCTCATGTCTGATAGTTTTCTCGACCTGTTCTGCGAAAGCCTTTGCTGCCATTAATCCTGTCTGCGCCTGAAGCTCTCCGTGAATTTTTTGGCCTAAATGTTCGAGAGCAGAGTTTCCCTGGAGGACTTCCATCCACGTAGCAACTGTATTCATTGTCATCAAGAACGTATAGATCAACTCCAGGTAGTTCTGCTGCGCCAGATTTTTGGTCAAAGCCGCCAGGAAGCACTTGATTGTGGGTATCCCTTCGCGGAACGCTTCTCCGTTTAGTGTCATTTCTCGACGTTTAACTCGACCATTCTGGAACTTCGTGTACGCGTTAACGCCGTCGGGGATAGCAGCCACCATATCGATGCTCAGGAGTTTGCCCAAGCCCCAATCTCCCTTGCCTCCCTTGCCTCCCTTGCCTCCCTTCTTTCCGCGGGAGCCTTTCTTTGTAACGGAACTTTGTGTTTGGCCCATCGCTCTCTGTGGACTTGGAGGCGGAGTGCGGATTAGGGACTGAAAGAGTCGAGCCGAGCCAAGCGGCTTGATGAACTAGGAAATGGAGGTCTAGACGGGTGAAAGTCAAGAAAAGTCGGTTTGAATCCTTGAACAGAAGGTGTGGAGAGAGAAAAGCGGGGCAAGGCTGCAAGGAGATTGGCACTGATCACATTTCCGTTCCGAACCTCAACACTTGAAAGACTTTAAACAAACCAGAAGTCTAGCCACATTCACAAGTTACCTTCTGCTTTTTACTCACGCTGACAGGCAGCTGCATTATTCAAATCCGGGCGCAATGTATTAGTGTGTACTACTCCTAAACCTAATGTATTTGTCCTTCTCCCAAGGACTTCTCATCGGATTCTGAGATCAGGCTAGAGGGGCCAATGCTAACTAGTTATGCATGGTCGGTTATGTAAGACTTATGCGCATGTAAAAACACAATTTTGTTGGATATTCGACACTCCGTATGAGAAATACAGCGGCCCATTGTTCAAAACGGACACCCCAATATGAAATCTACGCTAGTGGCTTGGTAAGTGGGCAAGGAAGTACTGATCAAATGTTTGATGATTAAACCGATTTCGAGAAAGGGTGTATAGACCTAAGGTAGAGACCAATTGTTGTCTTCAGCCGCTAGCATACCAAGGTACCATAGCCCTAGCAATACTGAAAATCTCCCAGCACCTCCACTTGACCATGGAATGGACGTAGCAACGGCTAAACGGCCATTTGTGTCCAGCCTTTTCACTGCGACAAGCTCAGCGTTCGAGAGAATAAAACCATGCCGCGCTTTGTGCTGTTCCATATAAAAATTCACCTGGGCCAAAACTTGTCTGTACTCTCGTTGGTCGGCCAAGTCTTGTGAAAGGCGCATCGAAGATTTGCATTTCCAAGATACCTTTAAGTCCCCAGGCGCTCGATTGACCCCTGTCGAGAGACTAGCGCCAACCACAATGAATGCCGCGTCTGGCCTGAATTGATCGATTATCCGTGCAGAACCCCCTCCGTCGATTGTGACCTTAGAAAGATGCCTTATTCGGAGCTCCGGTTCGAGTTGTTCAAATCCTGCTCGGAGGCTGCGTCTCACCCGGTTCATAACGAGATCTGAGAAACGAAGATGAAATGTGGGTTCATCTCAGTGGGGCGGGAGGTGAAGTAAACGGATCAGGCCGAATCTGAGTCGAATTCAATAATCCGCCATATCGCTGGATGATAGTTGGATAACTGACTCAGGCCACGAGACAATCTGAGTGATATCATCTGCATCATATAGTGGATTTATGGTGTTAGTGCCGGGAGTAGTCCCTTGCGTCGGTATAGTCGGGAGAGCAACGGAGAGATACTGCAGAAGTGATTGGGTTTCCATCTCAAATTATTCTAATATTATGGAAACCCAAGGTCATAGAGCGCAAGGGCGGGTCTTACCATGGTTGAGGTTCTGGAATGCGGGGCGTTTGAGTGGGGATATCACATGACTCAAAATGCTTTATGTAATCTAGGGAGGTGCGTTGGGTTCGACCTACCCTGCTCGATCAGAACTCATTCTACACCACAACTCCCCGCCTCCATGTAGCTCACGCAATGGCCATGGGTCTGCAGGCAGATTGCTCGCTTGATTTAGATCCCCGTGATCTTGTCATCCAACGCGAGATCAGCCGCTCAGAAGCTTCGACGGTCCTCGAAGTACGGATATGCGGAAACATACGCGTGATGAAGCTGGTCAGTCAAGCTTTTTTACCATTTCAGGATGACACTGACATATCAGTTCCATGATAATGGCGATCCCGGGTATAGTAGGAAAGGTCGAGACCTGAATCGATTCCGCTGCGAGCTGAATGCATATCGTAACCTCCTTAAATCCGGCGTGTGTGAGCGTGGATTTGTCCCGTTCTTTTACGGCTACATCGATCGTCTGGATCCATCCCATTGTCACCAACAGCTAAATCATTTCAAGAAGGACAAATTCCTACCGAGAGCAATTGTACTTGAGTACATCCCAGAAGCCGAACGATTGAATTGCCTGAATTATTCCGACAATGTGTTTCGCTACGCAGTTGATGGGATCCGAGAGATCCATGACGCACATGTCCACCACCATGACATCTATCCCAAGAATATTCTGGTAGTATCTGGCACCAGAATTGTATGGATTGATTTCGATGTTGCAACAACATTCAGAGATATGGGTACTCGTGAGAAAGCATACTGCGAGTATGAAGTTAAGCTTGTTGAGAGCTTTAGAAAGCTGCTGGTTTGTGTATCTCCATTGCCAACCACAAGAGAAGATTGCATACTGACTACCACGATGTCCAGAAAGAATGTCAATCACAAGGCCTACCCCCAAACACGAAGTACTATTAAGCCACACCCATTGCAAATCGACTTAGCCTGGTAGCAGTATCCCGTGGACAGATAAGTTTAGAAATGTAGGCTTCATGGATAGCTCTCCACCGTTAAGCCTGCATGTCGAAAATGGCCCTCGGCGCTCTCCTTTCGTGCGCCAACTTCGTGAAGGCACCTCCGAAGAAAGACATGGAACCCCTCCCCGAGAGTCCTGTGGGACGTTGGCCACACTTTCTTTATATGACACTTAAGCTCGGCAAAGAACTCTTCGATAGGGTTGAAGTCCGGGGAGTACGGCGGCAAGTACAGGAGCCTAACCCCTGCATCGGCGCACAGCTGCTTGACTCGATCGGAATGATGGAATGATGCATTATCCATAACAAGAACCGATTTCGGCTCTGGCCATCTCCCACAATGCTGCAGCAGTTGCTCAATAAAAGATTCGAAAAATGTAGCATCCGTTGACCCCGTAAAAATGCGGGATAATAAGATGCCGTCCTGTGTATATGCCGGTAGTATCTGGTAGCGTTCGCCCCGGTGGAATTTAGATACTTGGACTGGTGTCACTCCTGAAGGAGACCAACCACTCCGTCGATATCCCACCCGCTTATCACACCCGGATTCGTCAACAAAAACCAAATGGTAGGAACGGAACTCAGATAGTTTATGCTGGTAGAAATCTCGTAAGTCAGGATTCTGTTCCCTTGCTTTTTGCTGGGCCTTCTTCCTGGACCAGCCGGCACTGGCAAGGGCACGTTTGACACTGGACGGGGAAGGCAGAACACCAAATTCGTCCCATAAGTAGGTAGCCATCTCTTCAACGTATAGGGTTGGTTTTTCAGTAAGGTGATCAAGGAGGGTATCAAGCATCAAGGGAGTAATGGTCGGCGGTCGGCCGACACGGACTGGGGGAGATCTTGCGCTGCCGAATAATCTCATCTTTCTGCGTATCTTAGTGACGGTGCGTTCGCTACATTTCGCTGCCTGGGCAATTTGTGATATGGTGAGTGATTTCTTGCTGCATATCATATGAACAATCATGTTACGCTGCCAGGAATCGAGGTTCCTCGCCATTTTGTGATGGGTTGTTTGAATGTTGATGGTTCCTGACCTGGCGACGTCATGGTAGTTGGGGCTTATTTTTAGAATTGTACCAATACAGGGACGAAACAGATGACTCAACTATAGGTTCGTTTCGTTTAGAGGAGTTTGTATGCGAAACATAGATTAAAATACGCTCTTGCCCTATATGGAATAGCGTAAATTGGCATCTAGGGTTCGAAAAGCTCTTGTTGTATATACAATATGGAATCCAGTTTCGGACTTCTCTGTACCCCATGTGGCAGCTGTCGACAGCGTCACCTTTCCTGCGTAAGAACCGAGAAAAGATAACCAGGTTTCTTCCATGTCTCTAATGGTCTTTTAGCAACGTCCTACCGAACCAGCCTGGCAGAAACATAAAAGCTTTCTCCGCGACGGTTCAAGTGCCCAGCCACCCAAGACGATGGAGACAGATACCGCGAGCCAAGCCATTTTGGCAGATAATTTGGGACAGGATATACTTGACCAGACACTGCTACTGGTCCCTTTTCTGGAAACGGTATGTGGCGCGGCATGACCTGGTCTAAATAGATATGGCATCTTATTATCTCTTTCTAGCCTGCGCCCCGTTCACAAAGCTTCAAGATCAATGAGAGCAAAGGGAGCTATGATGCAGAGCAAGTGGGTGCTATCCAACATTGCCTACAAGCCGTACTGCCATGGACTAGATGGACCCTCTGCTCCATCAGTTACCGAAAGTCGTTTCAATTCGCCATCATATCTGAGGAATATTCGATCAGCCACGTTGAAGGCTATATAGCAGGTGTGGATATGCGACACTTGAGGGCAGTCGCTTTTAAACTCACTCCACAGAGTATCAGAGAGGTGATCAAAAACATTGGGCTTGCGGGGGGAATAGATCTTGCCACAGCACTGAATGAGTTTGTTTACAGGGCCGATATTACGGTGCTAAATAATTTGAACGAGGGATTTACTGGTGAGCTTGACATAGCTGACGCTCAAGAAGTTAGGGAGCAGATCGTGAAGCTTTGCCCTACACTTCAATAAGACAATTCGGAATATCATTGGCAGTCATCGGACCTCAACCTTATCCCACACTGATTTCGACATTATCTATAAAATCACAAAGTGAGAGGACGTCACAAGCATACCTCCGATTTGGACGATTTAATAATTGTCGCTAAATTAGGATTTACATAATGACGATGTTACATAATTATTTCAGGTCACTCTATTACCACTTGTTTTTTCTGGAATCAATCTAAACCGGTAAAGGAGTGTGCTATACTGCAACGGTATGCGATGTTCAGCATATCAAGGAATGAGATGCCATGTACCAATTTAAGTAAATTTGGAATGAGGTTCGGGGTGAGCACTCTAGCCTTAGCTTGCGTGAGATTGTCGACCTGGATGCATCTGATAGTCTTCTGATCTCAATATCAGGTCATCGATAGATATCTGCTCTTACAAGAATAGAACCTGAAAGACTGCAATCTCGAATAAGGTGAACCGTATCCACACAACTACTATGTATGATTGGCCTGGTATCGGTCTCCCTAATATCCATTAAGTGTTTGCCACATTTGGCGATCAGGGTTCTCCGCATTTGACAGTATGACCACTGTGAACCGGTGCTCACGCCGTAGGGATGAAGTGTCTTCTCAAGCAAAGGCTGTAGATGCTCCTTTCGGAAATAAGTGAGGGCGGCTCTGGTATTCCTTTATTGAGAAATTGGACTTGCTGGGGCGTATGTTGTCCGTTCGGCATGCATCCACCAAGTTGAAGGAAGAAAATGACATTTTTTGCGAGGGTGGTGAGAACATCATTCTTTGCTCCTTGGAGAGGTATTTTTAAGGTTATATCCTGGAATAGCTGAGCACTGGCACACTCTGGTGGTCCCGTCGATGCTGGCGAAGCTTTATTAGCAGTACCTGAGAGACGTGAGGAAAGTACTCACGGAAATTACTGCTCAAAATGCTAGTAGATATTTTATCTTCCATTGTGAAAGAGGATACGTTATATGAACAAGTTGGCTAGGCAGCCCACCCCCGACGATCTCTTTAATCGTGTACTTGCTTTCGGATTCCTCTCACATAACTAACAAAGAATAGTTGACCCGCGTGGTGAGCAGAGTCACTTGGTGGCCGGCATCCTCATGTCCAGGGTAAAAGAGTGTAAAATATCTATCCATGAATCCCAGATTCCGGGTGTCTCTCAGTCTCGTGGCTTGCTAGAAAGTAGGTAGGAACCCCTGCGGGTGGAGCGCGAGACCGGCAGCGTGAGAGTCTTCCGAATGATGTTGTCGTGCTCCCCGAGCTCCTACACTTCTATGACAGTGAGGTGGCTGCTGTCTCTACCCGCTCGGGGAGTCTCTCCATCCGGAAATTATGGAAGCATGGAGTGACCTCTTGGATTCGCTTATAGATGACCTGCCTGGACCCCTAGCGTGGAAGGACCAGACCAAACCTCATACCCGCCACTCCGACGCGATGATTTGAGGGATCCTGTTGTGAATTTTCAAAGTTCATGGTGCAGGAGCAAATTCAGGTTGATTCCTATTTCCCTAGTACGTGTGCGATTCATGATCTGGTTGAAGACCAGATTGTCTAGATGCGCTGAAAACTGTCCATCACCCCTCAACGTGTGAGGAAGCCCATAGATTTGACCAGGAGACAAATAATATTCCGAGTGTATAAAATGGAGCTGAAATGGCTTCAGACCATGGCCCCCCAAACCAAGTCCCATCGAGCAGGCATCCCTTTCACTCCACGTACTTGGAGGAGTATAGCACCCAAGGGCCAGAAAGGGGCATGTGTACCTACAATTACTGAGCCAGGCCAATCCAAAGCACCAGATAGAATCCAAGATCTGACGATTGTCGAGAAATCATAAGTCCTCGTCAACTCATTCCGTTTTGTGTTGTTCCTGGCTTAAACCCCAGCTGTTAAAGTCATATCTTGAATGCGCCTGTTTGACTAGATTCTAACCGTCCATGGTTCCCATCCCACCCAACACAGGAACATCATTACCCATAGAAAACGGTTATCAGGAATGGAAATTGAAGGCAGCGAGGTCGTATACAAAGAGTTCAAAGAAAAATAGAGTACTTGTCTTTCCAATGCACACGCTCACGCCCATTAATCGTATGTGGTGATGGGATTACGGTCTCCGGACAACATGTAGCGATCTCAGGCTTTGCACTCTCAGAAAAGTTATCAGATATCTCCATAGTACGGGGGGTGGACGAATTTGACACCTGGTAGCATGTTGCGGGCTGCGAAGAAGGTTGGAGGCTGCTGGGCCTGTGACAAGGAGGCCAGGGAGCCTTTTCATGTTCCTCAATTTCTTTAGCCCCAATACTCTACTTGAAACTGTTGATAGAATCGGAGCCCTTCCTTCCCTTTTGGTTGGCATCCTGGTTCCGAACAGATACTAATTCAGTACCGTCTATTGACGTATCAGCTAAGGTCCATATTCACAAGCTCAGAGTACCCACCAATTTGGCGCTGCTCATACAGCTCTTGCATTCGTCGTACGTTAAGTATCTCGCAAAGAATCTGGATTTTTTGGGTGGACGCTATGGGTTTTCTGGTTTCATGTGTCACTTGCTCAAGCTCGGCATAGCCAAGCTTACGGAAAATATGGGCCAATAGGGGAATGAGATCTGGAAATGTCAGCGCCTGTGTCAAGAAGAGTGATTACTAACACACGTATTTTGCCAAGGTGATGGGGATCCTTATGAGGAATCTTATCCGGCCACCACTCAGGCTTGCTCTTTTCTGGGTCCCCATTTTTGCCCCCGTTGTATGGGTGCTTTGCTTGCTTGCTGGGCTCAATGTGCCGGATAATACATTTCGCGATTCTGGCACAATTGGCCATGGTGAGGGACTTGAAAGCATCTTCATAGTATTTGGAAATCTTGTCCCCTTGCCGGATCTCCAGGCTGACCATATGGGTTGAGGGATACTTCTGGGCCGAATCGGGGTCTTGGCTGGCACCATGCGCATCAATTACAGGATCTTGAATAGATATTTTCTGTCTCTTCGCTTCATGGGAGAGATCTGAGTGCTCATACCCATGGGATAAAGCAACCTCGGAAAGTCCTGCCATGTAAGTTAGTAGAGCCATAATAGGGGATTATGATATGTTACACATACCAGGAAGGGCAGGCTCCTGCTTTCCAGCCCCCCATTCCGGCGACCTACGTGCTGAGCACCCGGCACTCGCTTCTTCGAGAGACATGCTCCTCTGTTGTGGACGTCCCCTTTTGTAGCGAGGTGAAGTATGGTCGCTCCGTGTTGTGATCTCAGCTCGTTTATTTGTATCGAGAAGGTCGCAAGAATCCGCCCGAGATTGAAGCCTTCGGACATTTCTGTCACACCTGGGTGCGGCGGCAGATTGGGTATTTTCGGTGCCGCGACTTGCTTCCATACACCCCAGGCCCTTTCCCCACATATCTACAATACCAAGTATCAGGATATACTCGCGCCCTTGAAATCCCCCTCGCATATCTTGGACCATGGTCTTCAGGCTTGCGACGGGGACTTGTTGGAGAACCTGTTTGAGCAATTCCACACAGGCTTCCGAACAATTAGACAAAAACCATAAATCCTTTTCGTAGAAGTTGTTCTGACCTTTTTTTGAATCTTGTATTTCGTCCCCTAGCGGAACTTTGAGTTCTAACGAGCCAACTATATGGCTCAGTAGTGTCCAGCAGGTATTCAGAGATAAAGGAGTGAAGAGGATTTCCCGGTAAAGATGGATGTGAAGACCGTTATTGAAGAGTCGAGGGTAGCCATGTGGACTCGTATCCCGTTGAGACACCCAGGCAGGCAACATAGCCCGATTGCGCGCTTGGATGACCTTGGACACATGGCATGTATCGATCTTGCTGGAAATTAGCTCGTAGTTCCTCACTAAGAGTGGTTTATGCTAACGAGTATCCCATGGCGTGATTCCATAATCTTTTCTTCCTCGCAGCAACAGCAAGTCACAGAAGAAAATGTGTAATCGGAGACAATTTGATTTCCAAATACTGACGACTGAAAATGTAGGAAACAACGGAAACATAGGAAGAACTGGTTTTGAGATAACAGTTGCTGAGGAGGCCCGGTGCCGACGATATCATTATCTGGATTGGGCAACAGTGGTAAGCTACTTGTTTAATGTATCTGGGGTCAAATTTCACTAACCGATTGCCTGCTCTGAAGTGTCAGAAGGCACTACGGCCATCGACCTATCCAAAGCTCTCCCGTTAACTGGGTTTCCCGGCAAAACGTTGGCTGGCGGCATCAAGAAAGGCCAGGCATTACTGGGAGCAGGCTTGTCCTCAGCATACGCTGGAGCTGGAAAATCCATTCCGAGAAATGAGTGGTTTGGGATCGTCTGTAAAATATTTCAGGGGGCCGGTCCATATATACCGTTGTGCATTAGTCCATCCCCCCTCCCCCCAGCTAGGTCTCATAATCAGCTCAGCCTGATGCAAGCACTAGCCAGGGCCCATGCCACGAACTCAGATGGGGAGTCCAAATCCTGGAGGCATATTTTTGTCCACTATCTTGAGCCCGCGTTATTTCCTCCGTCCGTATCTGGTGTTGATCCACCCACACGGCTCCATTGCGAAAATGCTCTACCAATTTTACTTCTTCTACGGGCATCTCCGGAGAATGAAGAGATCAAGATGTTCTTTGAATCCATAGGTATAAGTATATTGACAGCGTGTTCACTTTCTTAGTTTTCTTTTTGATGCATAGAGGCCAGGTATGAGGGATGGCAAACAGCCTTCGACAAGGGAAGTGAGATTCTCTTGCTGCCGTTGTCATCTTGGAACCTATCTTCTTACAGCTACGCTAAATCAGACAGCCACGTATCAGTTTCCGGCTCAGCCCCCAGGCACAATCCCCCCTCAGTATTCTCTCGTCCCAGATCCTAAAGGTTTGTCGCAGAATCCCGGCCCCCTAATCCTCAAATAAAGCATGTTCCTCTTTCTCCCTCTGGAACAGCCAATCTATCCTCATGATCATGTTGCGAGCATTGTTCATCCTTTTTATGTATCTGATCGACTGATATCTAGTAGGAAGTAAGTTCACTAGTGTTAATGCCGCAACAAAGTCATCATTCTCCCTTTAAGACTAACAGATCCAGCTTCTGTCCTCAATTTATATCCCTAGCATTCATTCCCACCGCGTTGAAATCGCCGCATCCTGGCCTGGGGTTACGGCTTTTCTGCAATGTAGTAGGAAGACTAACCACGATTGCCTAGCGCGGAAGTTGTGGCTACTAATCGAGCTCGGATATTGGGAGCGACTCCAGCAAAGGGCACCACTTCCGACGGTGGTAGGTGGCTCACAGAATGCCGAGACATACCTATGGAGACGTGTCCTAGTCACACGAAGCAAGGCAGGGATAAACCGTGTCAAGAATTCTCTTAAGAATACACATAGCTTCTCTGATTTGTGGGAATTCGGTAGAACTGGAGGACAGGTTGAAGGGACAGAGAGACCCCATCAGCCTGGAGTGGCCAAATTATTTTGAGTCCAAGTGTACCGGCGAATCTCCTTCACAGAGTGCAGGCAGCCAAGGATCTCGATCACTCCACCAAAGGTCTCCATAGGCGACAGCGGGCATCTTGGGAAGCTTTCCAGGTAAAGAAACTCTTGATCTTTTCGATTGGTAGGCAGGCCATCCACTTGCCAGGCGGAAGTATCTCTGGCAAGCTCCCCTGCGTAATAGTAGGAAAATTAACTTCAATTAGAATAGCGTGATGTGAACAACTCGAACGATGGCCGACTAGGCGACCTCCCTACTTTTCCTAAGCATCCCAGACCACACATCAAGTCCCTGGCTACCCTGACAGCCATGAAGGGTCCCACAAAACAAAAGCAGCCCTCGTCCGTCATATGGGCCACATCGATCCCGAACACCTACCCTGTTAACCCTCTCGCAAGGGCGGCGAAGAAAATTATTTACCGCTGACCATTGGTTCCTGTCAGCTGAACAATAAAATTAGCAACATACTAAATCCTAGTATGTTTCAGTGGGCACACACCAAACTCAGTAGTCCATGACCACGAACCAGTGGATTGTTTTGATACAGTGATACAAGTACATCCCCTCTAATCCATTACATGCAATCCCATATCGTACATTGCGGCGAGGTCCCATACCATACACTATTGTCGAATTTTGCTCCTTGCCTCACATATCTTCGTATTGGAACCTGATAGAGTCCCTCCCCAATTACCTGACCATCTGTTTCTCTGATGGACGCTTCATCTGGTTGTAGGCGGCGGTGGTGGTGCGCCCGGCTTTTTGACACCCGTAGTATCGTATGCACCTCGTCCCATGTCGAACGTGGATAAAAGATAGACCGATGATCTAAAGATGTCAATATTGAGCGGCCAAGTGTTCGGTGCTGCAAGGAAGCTATACTTACTATAGGTTCAAGTGGAGAAATATGTGAAAGAAGAAAAGAAAGAGGCCTTCAATGATAGATATCTCCTTTCTTGTTTTTGTACCCTCGCCTAGCACGTACTAAAGCAACACATAATACGAAATGAGGACAAATTCTTAGCGAACAATGAGCGGGAAAGAATCCCTCTCACTCGATAGCCCAGCACTTCGTGGAGCTCTAGGCCGGTTGGACGCCCGGCCATCTTACTGCTTGGAGCTAACAGACAGTCCCTGCCTTAGGTATGGTGTATAACCACAGGCTACTGTCCCTACCTAGCCAGTGGTCCTTCTCATCACAATGGATCTGTCACATTGCTAGCTGGAATCAGGCGGGGGTGGTGGAGGGCGGCTTGTTTGCGAGGCCATCGGGGCCGGGAAACACCAAGGCCCGTGATTCGTCTTCGCACGCTTTCAATACATCGAAATACGTTGAAGGTGGAGCTTCACGAAGACGCGGAAAATACTGCCCCTGCGTTCAAGGACCATCCATAGGATGGCAATCGCTTAAGGGCACTCCTTGCCGTAGAAGAGAAAAGGGGTTGGAGGGGTGGGGAGAATGAACTATCGGGGGAATCTCTTCCCCATATATTAGTTCTCTCAGCTACTTCGAATTTAAGTTAATTGCTATCCTCCGAGACTTGTGTTCCGATCACGCCCTATTTCATACCTCTCAGTTCATGTCAAGAACAATGGTTAGTGACCAGTCCAATTACCTCAAGGACTTTTACTAACGCACATGAAGAGCGCTTTACCTAGACATATCCTCCTTCCTCCGGCCGAGTTGGCGTTGAAATCTCTACAGGCATGGTGCTTTGGCTCTGAGATCTTTGGATCAATATCACTTCGACAAAGTCTTGACTCCGAAAGCAGGGAACTCCTGGATATTTGTCAAGGTCTTCGAATAAAAGGATATTCCTCAGAAGGAGTGCTTTTGCTCAGTCAAAACTCGCTCCTTAATGAGTATACCGAACGCATCTCCAACAGGCTCTGTGAAAATATCATTTTAGAGCTGGCTCTTCTTACTTGGCATTTTGATGCAACATCTGAATTGCCCTCGAAAGAGCTTCTGAACTTCTTTGCGCATCCCGACGACAAATTTGAGGGTGTGTGCCAGGCAATATGTGAACGATACACTACAATCATTGGAGCATCTATGTCGTGCTGCGAATTCGGAGAAAAATTCGCGAATCACCTTGGCTATCTCGAATCTGGTATTGCAAAAGGATGGTACTTGGTGTTAACGTCTCGGGGGCAGGAATGCACGGAATAGATTAACAAGAGCATGTCTCAGCACCCTGTCGTATTGTTTGGAGATCCTGTACTTGAAATTGTATTTTTTTCGTTGGATATACATTCTTTGTAGACATGTTTTGACTATGTGGGGATTTCAAGCGATGGTAGGAACTTGTGATCAATAGATGCAAAGTTCTCCTACAGCTGAGGGTTCTACTCGACGGAAACTATTAAAGTCTCAACACATATTGACCACTTAAGTATGAGGCGCAATAAGTGGTATGAGGATTATGAATAGGAGAGATAGTTAAGACAAATGTTGACCTCCGACTGGGCCTTGACTAAGTGTGACAGTAAATTGTCCATCGAAACTCCTTCCGCAGAGATATCCTCAATGAGACCCTCCCATTTGTAATTGTGCGACACTCCTGATCTACAAATGGTTAGAATGAAGATACTGGTTATCATTTTGTTACACTTACACCCATTGCACGCAAGAGCAACATTCTCGTGTTGGTAGCATGAGATCCTCTGAAATCCAAAGACGACCTTTCAAA